ACCCTGGTCTCCAGAGCTGTAGTCTAGCACTCAAACCACTATGCCATACTTTTTCAGTACAGCTTTAAATTATTTTAGCTTTGTGTTTTTAAGAGACTAGTTTGTTTAATTGCTTTCAGCTTTTGTATTAATAATAATTTAGCTGCACGTTCTTTTAATTTCTTGGAAGCCATAAGTCACATACTCTGAGCCTCAGGGGAAGGCAATGGCAAGCCTCCTCTTGACAAATCTTGCCAAGAAAACCCCGTGATAGGTTGATAGATTCACCTTAGAGTTGCCATAAATTGGAAATGAATGAAGGCACACAACAGGAAAGGCAAATAAATGCACAGGATGAGGCATCAAAATGAGTGACATGAGTTAAGAGTCAAATACGTGAACAGCCGAAGGCCCACCTAAATAAAACGTCTTTGCCTTCTGGTGGAACAAAAGGAGAGAGGGGGCCTTCTGTGGGAGGGAATTTCATTCCCTGGGAGCAGCTACCAAGAAGGCTCTGTCCTGTGCCCTCGCCAGATGTGCCAGTGATGGTGGTGGGATGGAGAGAAAGCTCTCAAAGACCTTAAAACTCCAGCAGGCTTGTACTGGGTGAACAGTTTCTCCTGAAAGCCTTCAGGAGGAGTGATTCACCCTTTACACGAATTGCATTGTTTAAAATTTAAAAATACTTTTTTTTTTTTTAAGAAAAAAGAAGTGAAGTCCTGGTCACCAGATTTTGTCTTTTAATCCACAGACGGTTCCTATGGTAGAGAACTGGCCCCTGGACTGGCAACAGTTACCAACCCATGGTATGGAGACCCACCACCATGAAATCTATGACAGAAAACTGGTCCCTGGACTTGAACCGGTTGCCGACCCCTGGTATGGAGACCCACCACCATGAAATCAAGGTTTGCCTTTTTGGAATTTATTATATTTCACATTCCTATGGCAGAAAACTGGTCCCTGGACCTGCAACGGTTGCTGACCCCTGGTATAGAGACCCACCACCATGAAATCAAGGTTTGCTTTTTGGATTTTATATATTTCACATTCCTATGGCAAAAAGGTCCCTGGACCTGTACCGTTTGCCGATCCCTGGTATGGAGACCCACCACCATGAGACCCATCTAATGGGTTGCTTCCAAACCAAAAAGCAGGGTAAAGAGGTTGCAGGTGTGCAGAGGTACCATACCTGTCCCATGGCTGGCAAGGGTCCATCTAGCCATCCTGGATGTCTTTCCAAGCAGACTGGGGCCAACCTACAGCGTTTGGCATAGTATGGTTTCAAAAAAAGGACTGATGCACAGAGAGACTTGAGGTGTGGCAGGGTAGAAAAAAGAGAGAAGAAGAAGAGAGGAAGCAAGCATCTTCTTACTTAACAGGAAAGGGAGTGGCAAAGGAAGTGGCATAATCGAATGCAACGCCGAAGCCCTTTTTTGGGAAAGCCCCGGCATGCAGAGATCTTTCACGACGGCTTCCTAGAGATAGGAAAAGCTTGTGGCCACACAGAGAATGAAGAGAGGAAGTGGTTGAAGGGGGAAAAAAGAGTGAGAAAGAGAGGGAGGTGAAGCACAGGATGGTGGTGGCATTTGGACCATGCTCTGTTCTCTTCCTGCGCTGCAATGCTGGCTTTGTGACAACAAGAAGACTGTTGTTGTGTGCCTTCAAGTCATTTCCAATTGATGGCAACCCGAAGTTGAACCTATCATTGGTTTCTTTGGCATGTTTCTTCAGAGGGGTTTTGCCATTGCCATCCTTTGAGGCTGAGAGAGTGTGACTTGCCCAAGTGGATCTCCATTGCCAGACCAGGATTCGAACCCTGGTCTCCAGAGTCCTAGTCCCATGTTCAAACCACTCCACCACGCTGACTGAGAGATACTCAATGAAATACAGGTGGAGTCTCTGTTATCCAAAACGCTTGGGGCCAGAAGTGTTTTTGATTTCGGATTTTGGGGGGGGGATTGTGGGATATTTACATCTACGTAATAGGATATCTTAGAGATGGGACCCAAGTCTAAACATGGAATTCATTTACCTTCTGTATACACCTTATACTCAAAGGCTGAGGGCAATTTTATACACAGCACTTTTCATAATTTTGTGCACAAAACAGAGTCTGTGTACACTGAAGCATCAGAAAGCAATGGTGCCACCATCTCAGCCATCTGTGCTGACGATTTTGGGTTTGGAGGATTTTGGATTTCAAAATTCCACGACTTAACCTGTATGCCTCTCCTTTCTTCAGTATCAAATCCTACACTCCTGGGTTAAAAACAGCAATGAATAAAAGTGAATAGTTTGGAGGAAGGATAGCATGGGGAAACAGGATGGTGGGAGTCAAAAAGAAGACATTGGCCCAAAATAAGAATTTTGCGCCCATTATGATAGTTTGATCCAATTCTTAGCATTTTTAGCACACTAGTAACTTAAATGTCAGCTGTGCATTCAGAAACAACAATTTAGGTATCCAAAGACATAAGGCAGGCAAATAAACAAGGGAATGCAAACACAGCAAACATATAAATAAATGTAAGTGCAAATCTTCTCAAAGATTCAGGTTTGCTAGAGGGATCCTTCTCTGTGTTCCACCAGTGAGGTCAATACAGTACACTCCATGAGGACTAGGCTGGAAATATATACGGTATATATTTTTAATTGAGAATTGTGCACAAACATTTTGTCAAATGTTGGGAAACCCTGACGAAAAGAATCCTAGACTGGTGAGAACCTTTGCATTTCGAGACTAATTCTGCTCAAAATTTGCATGTGGCTGTTTCACACAGGAAACATCATTTTCAGTGCAGAAAAAGCTATTTTGGGGATTTCGTCTGCAAAATATTCACACGTATATGCTTTGCATAGAAAACAGTTTTTCTGCACAAAAAAAATCAACCTTTTCTGCATTGTTGTTTCTTGTTATGTGCCTTCAAGTCATTTCCGATTTATGGCAACGTTAAGGCAATCCTATCACAGGGTTTCCTTGGCAAAATTTGTTGGGGGGAGGTTTGACTTTGCCTCCCTATGAGGCTGAGAGGGTGTGACATGCCTAAGGAAATATTATTTCTATGTAGAAATATGATTTCCTGTGCAGGAAATGTTGTTTTTTTAAACAATAATTTTTATTCAACCTTCAAGATTGAACTTCTTAGGTACAAGTCTTAAATTTCCATTTCTTCTTTAAAAACAAAAACAAAAACAAAGAGCATATATGGAATATCCTACGAAAACATGCATTATCAACTACTATGGAAATGGTTTCTGTGCAAAACAATCCTGTGCGAACTTTCGCAGAATTAGTCCCAAATTGCAAATAAGGCTTCGAAAACTGTACTTTTTAACTTATCTGGAGCAGTAGTCTTTCATTTTGCTAATTTTAAAGCAACTAAACTGATTGTTGACTAAATTATATCCTTTCCCAAACTGGGATCCCAGGCAGTTTACAAAAATTGAAATAAATAAATAAAACCATACAAAACGTTATTGCTAAAATGCAAATAGACTATAGAGCAAGAATCGTTTGAAACATATCTCTTAAAAAGGCCAAAAATAGTTTTTAAAAATACAGGATACTATCATAAACAGTCAGTTCTGACTTCTGAAAAGCCTGCTGAAATAGCTAAGTCTACAACTGCTAATGGAAAGACAATGAAGGAACCACAACCCAAAGTACTAACCATAGCTGTACAAAATTAGAAAATGCCCAGATGAATTAACCAGAGGAGATTTTCGGCACTGACAAAAAAATTGATGGAAAAATTATCTTTAAATGTTAATGAATGAAGACAGAAATATATCTTGATTTTACAAGGTCTAGTCTCCATTTATAAATTATGTCAACCGTAACAACGATGGCATGCTTTGCCCTAAAGCACATAATAATTTATAGAAAGATGTTATCTCTTACTGGTGTGTTCAAAGCTCAGTTTTAGGTGTGTTACTGGTTTTTATTAAAACACACGGAAAGAGTTCCAGAGCCACAGAAAAATCACTGCAAAGGCCTTCTTCCATGTTCCCACCAAACATGGCTGTGAAGGTATATTGTGCGACTAACATCTCAGAGATCAGGTAGGCTCATCCAGAAGCAGCAAGATCTAAGGGAGGCTCATATGTAGGGTTGCCATATTCCAGTCCTGTATATCCGGGCATCTAATTTGCACATTATGCAAAATATTAAATTATGCATATTATTAATTTGCATTCTGATTATGCAAATTCAACACATTAATCATTGCACTTTTTCTACCATTATGTTTCAACCTCAGTACCAGTACCATCTCTTTTTCCCCCTTTTTCTTCCTAGCTGGTGTGAAAAGAAGGAGGCTCTCTGTACTTTAGAGAATACAGGGATTCTCTTTACGCTCTCAAGTTTGGAAGCTAAGGTCTACCATGTTGCCTAGTCCTAGGCTCAAGCTGCCGACACAATCACCACCCATCACAAGGCCATCTCTGTTCAGGTCCTTTCCTTTCCCGTCTTCTAGGTTTGTTGGGGAATGGGGAAAGGAAGAATAAGATGGTCATGCTATGCCAGTGCAGTAGTAACCGGAGCCTGCAGAGTGAGATGAAGTTCCCGTCAGTACTTCTTGAACAGTTTCCTACTTCATTGCCATCGCCACATTTTAATCTACCCATCAGCCCACGACGAAGAAGAAATCCCGGATTTACTGCTTCAACTGGCCGATCTGGGATTTTCCAGGTTTTCCGGGACAAATGGCAACTCTACTCATATGGGAAGAGATGGTCTTCCAGGTGGGCTGGACTCAAACTGCATGAGGGTTTTAGCTTATTTCTAAAGATCTCTGTATATCTCCTACCATCGAAAATTACATTCCCACTTGCAAACACCTGAGATTTCCAAATGAGATTGGAGAGAAGCTGCTCCTGGTTGCATCTTCTGAAGCTAGGTTGGCTTCTACAAGGAGCGGGACCTTGTTTGGAGCAGCCCCATGCTTCGGAGTGAGGGTCCCTAGCTAGGCACCCACTTCTGATATCATCACAGGCTGTGACAGGGTCTGCATGGATAACAGTGGCTGAAGCGACAGGTAAGGGGGCACGCACCTGTCCCATCTACTGGCTGTCAATGGCAGAGTTCCTGGGAAACGCCACTGCAAACAGGTTATTTTAAACTGGGTTAGGTAAGAGAAAACGGGCCTTTCACCCATGCATACAGCCCCGAGAGAAAGAAGTGGGTAGCATAAACTTCATAGAAGAAGTAGACTTAAGTCTACGAAAGTTTATGCTACCCACTTCTTTCTTTCTTTCTTTCTTTCTTTCTTTCTGTGAGCCTCAAAGGTGCCACAAGATTCCTTTAGCATACAGCTCCAGACCGACACAGGCTGCATCTTGCACTGCAGAAATAATCTTGGATTACTTGTAGTCTGTTGTGGCACCAGAGCTCTCTGGTTAAATAGCTCACAAAAACTACAAATCCTCGAATCCCACTGCATTGAGCCATGGCAGTTAAAGTGGTGTCAAACTAGATTATTTCTGCAGTGTGGATGCAGCCACAATTATGCTTCTGAATCCTACGGTCATGGAAAGCATCAAATCTAGCCGGATGGAGTGTTGTAACAGTTGTGAGTGTTTTCTTGAGACCTAAACTGGGGGAAAGTGAGATATAAATAAATAGAAAGAGGAGGAGGAGGAAAGGTGGAAAAAGAAACCATAGACCACCAAAAGACAAATAGGTGGATCTAAGGACAAATCAAGCCTGAACTCTCACTGAAAGTCAAAATGATTGAACTGAGATTGTCATTTTTGGACATATATTGTGATGGCATGACTCACTGAAAAGAACAAGAAAGCTCAGTAAAGCTGATGTGTTATGTATGCTTGTTGTGTGCCTTCAAGCCGTTTCTGGCTTATGGCGACCCTAAGGCTAATCTATCATGAAGTTTTCTTGACAAGCTTTGTTGAGAGGAGGTTTGCCATTGCCTTCCCCTGAGGCTGAGAAAGTGTGACATGCCCAAGGTCATCCAGTGGATTTCACGGTCATGCTGGGAATCAAACCCTGGTCTCCAGAGTCATAGTCCAATGCTCAAATCACTACTGGCTTGATGGCAGTAGGAAAATAGGACAATCACATTATAAATGGATAGATTTAATGAATGAAGCCACAGCTCGAAGTTTGCAAGAACTGGTCTCTTGGAGGTCTCTCATTTCTACAGTCACCATAAGTCAAAGCCCAGAGTTATTTAAAATTCTCAGCCAGAGGGCTGTACAGCCTCACTGCGCTAGAAACGCCAGATTCTAAGGAACATTACCACGGCAGCTAAAGCGGAATCACAGTGTTATAAATATGTAATGTGAAAGGACTCCTAGAAAAAAAACCCAAAGACATGGCTACAAAGAAGCAATGAGAAGATCTTGCGTCTGAGTGGGTTTGTCTACACCAGGGGTCCCCACACTTTTTGATCTGGGGGCTGGTTCGCCGGCCCCCAAATCTTCGGGGGGCCGGAGGTGCGCACGCATGACTTGAGCGCCATTTTGTCTTCCAAAATGGCGCCTGGAGTCATGCGCATGTGCCCGGTGTCAGAGGCAGCTGGAGTTGTGCGCATGCGCGCACAATGCCAGGCGCATGCGCACGACTCCGGACGCCATTTTGGAAGGCAAAATGGTGCTCGCCGGCGTGTGTGAGCGGTGGCGGCGGCGGCAGGACCGGCCGCGGGCCGGTAAAAAGGCCTCAACGGGCCAGGTCCGGCCCACAGGCCATAGTTTGGGGACCCCTGGTCTATACTACAGAAACAATACAATTTGACACCACTTTAAGTGCTGTAGCTCCATCCCCCAGAATCCTGGAATTTGTAGCTTTACAAGTTCTTTAGCCTTCTTTGCCAAAGAGGAGTGATGGTACCTCACAAAACTACAAATCCCAGGTTCATGTGGAATGGCACCACGGCAGTTAAAGTGGTGTCAAACTGCATTATTTTTTCCCTGTGGCTGCACCGCAAGGTCTTGGCTTATCAGGCTGGAAGCACGTTTATCTCAAGGTATCCTCAAGTAATCCCTTCTCTTAGAAAACAAATGCCTGCCATTCATTCTTATAAATTAAGAAAAGCAATTCTGCTTGGAGGCAAAAGGAAGCACTGATTATCGGTTGTTGTTTTCCCCGCAAACAATACCGCTTAATGAAGTGGCTTGGGTTTTTCAGGGGTTATTTTTTCTCTCTCCTAGAAGCATAACCCATGTGCATTTATTTAATCTACGCTCATCTGCACTTTCTTGTTAGTGGTAGCTCTTCCTGTTTAGCCAAGCCAGCTTTGCAAACCCAGCTGTAAAAAAGAAAGAGAAAAAGAATCAATAACCCACAAAAATGTGTTATTGGCTGCCTGCCCTTAGCTAGCTGTCTGTGTTGTCATGTGTGTCCTAAAAAAAGGCCGGGGGTGTGGGGGCGGAAGGAGGAGAAAAAACTACACATTCTGCATGACTTGTATGAATGAATGCCTGGAGGTGATCCTTCCTTGACAAGGAGCTCTTCAGAAGTCTGAGCAAACCCGAGTTTGAAAAGGAGGGCAGGCTATATATGGGGAAAAAAAACAACAAACCCCAATGTGTTTTCTACAACGTATTTTAGCGTGCATGAGTTGTTTCGCTAGTTATCTGGTTTCTCTCTGTTTCCAGACCTCCGAGGGCTTGGACTTTTCCCTTTCCCAGATAGGGAAAGGGGCTAACAAAAAGGCAGACTACAGCTGCTCCATGCAGTGCTGAGCTGGGCCAAATGTGAGGATCATAGAGCCCTCTAGATGTTGAATTGCAAGTCCCATCGTCCCTAGCTAGCAGAACAAATGGTGGAAGATGTCGGCTCTAGAAGTCCAAAATCTGGAGGATCACGTGTCTTGTCCTTAAATTAATGGCTTCTAGACACCTGAGAGCCAGCATGGTGCAGTGGTTTGAGCGCTGGACTATGACTCTGGAGACCAGGGTTCAAATCCCAGACATATAAACCCATTGGGTGACCCCAGGCAAGTGACATTCTTTCAGCCTCAGAGGATGGCAAAAGAAACTTGCCAAGAAAATCCCATCACAGGTTTGCCTTAGGGTCACCAGAATCAACTTGAAGGCATACAACAACAACAACAACAACAACAACAACAACAGACATTTGGAAGACTGAAGACTTTGGCCAAACCACTGCATCAGAATTGTAAAACACAAATCTCTGTGTGTGGTGATGTAACTGTGCTCCACACAGATTGTATTGAATGCCAACGTTGGACAACTGGACCAAGACACCAAATTTGCAACTGGATGCCCAACGAAATGCACGGTGTGGAACTGCATGCACAACTCTCTTCAACTTAGAATTAAATGCAGACGTTTTGCTCCATGCAAAAATGTCCAATTTCTTCAATAGGGGAATTTATCCTTGCATAAGACACCAACTGATTTGAAATGTGGTGCTAGGAGAGAGTTCTACAGATAGCATGGACTGCCAAGAATACAAATAAATGGGTCTGTGAACAAGCTTGAACTTTCATTAGAAGTGAAGGTGACTATACTGACCCTATCATTTGTTGTTAACTGCCCTCGAGTCAATCTCGACTCATGGCAACCCTATGGATGAGACATCTCCAAGAAGACCCTCTGTCCTCCACTGCTCTGCTTAAATCCTACAACCCTTTAATACCCATGACCTTCTTCATGAGTCCATCCATCTAGCATGTAGCATTCCTCTCTTCCTACTTCCCTCCATCGTTCCCAGCATTATTGTCTTTTCTGAAGAGTCCTGCCTTCTCATGATGTGTGTGAAGTACAACAGTCTCAGTTTGGTCATCTTGGCTTCTTCCAGGGAGGTTTCCAGCTTGATCTGCTCTAGGACCCATGTTTGTCCTTTTGGCTGTCCATGGGATCCTCAGCACTCTTCTCCAGCCCCACGTTCTCTCAAATGCATTGATTTTCTTCCTATCATCTTTCTTAACTGTCCAGCTCTCACATCCATACATGGTAATAGGGAATGCAATGGATTGTATGATTCTAACTTTGGTGCTGAGTTGTATAATATTTTCTAGTTCTTTCATAGCCACCACCACCACCCATTCTTAATCTTCTTCTGATTTCCTGGCTGCAGTCCCCATTGCCATCAATGTTTGATCTCAGGTATGGGAATTCTGTTACTATTTCTATTTCTTCATTGTCTAGGTTGAACTTGTGAAGGTCCTCGGTGATCATTATTTTTGTTTTCTGTACGTTCAGCATTAAGCCTGCCTTTGCACTTTCATACTTTGGGCATATCATGAGATGAGATGATTCAACGGTAAGATGATGATGCCAGGAAAAGTGGAAGCCAGCAGGAAGAGAGGAAGACCATTATTATAGCTACCGTAGATTGACTCCATCAAGGAAGCAACAGCCCTGGATTTGCAAGATCTGAGCAGGGGCTGATGGTGACCTGGGCTCTTTATTGGCCTTGCATTTTCATAGGATTGCCATAAGTCAAAGATGATTTGACAACTAACAACAACACAGACGTTCATAGTATGTATATATTTTATGTATTCATATGAATTTGGAAATAAGATCATTTAATATGGTCATTGACTGCAATAAAACAATTGAACGAACAAGAACAACACAGGGCTTGGGGCCCCAGAGATCATAATGGACTTCAAAGAGCTCGTGTAATCCATTGGCCCCACAATTTCCACTTATGCTTTATTAGAATCAAATTAAGGTGGGTAAAAATGTTGTTTAATTTTGTGTTTTATAACCATTTTGTGAAATTTGTCATTTTGTTCATATTCAAAATCGAAGAAACGTGAGGCTGAAACAATTTGAACGTGGAAGAATCTAAAACTGACAGTCATCCATTGAGACACAAGATTTTGAGTGAAGAGTTTGGGTTTGATTCTTTGTGCGTTGCATCATATTACATGTAATGCTAAGCTAGGATTGCCACTTCCTTTTCTGTGAGGTTCCTGTTCCTTAATATATAAATGGTACATAGGTTACAACATGGCCCTCACCATGCTCAGCACAGCTGTGCCTCTTCATTTTGTTTTCTCAAGATCTTATTAAAATGATCACAAATTACATATTCAGGAAAGAAAAAAACTTGAGGTTTAATGAACGCAAGGAAAGACTGCTGGACCTTTCCATCCTTGTATCAGAAACAGTCCATTATTCCTAATACAGTCTAGATATAGTCGTCACCCAGTGTCTAATAATGGTTTGACTGTTTGACTATGATTCTGGAGACCGGGGTTTGATTTTCCATTTTGCCATGCAAGCCACTGGGTGACCTTGGACATGTCACACTCTCTCAGCCTCAGGGGAAGGCCGTGGCAAACCTTCTCTGAACAAATCTTGCCAAGAAAACCCCAGGATAGGTCCGTTTTAGGGCCGCTGTAAGTCGGAAATGACATGAAGGCACACAACGTAGTCTGTTTATCTGTCCATTTATCACAACTGTATCCCACGTTTTGCCTTTCATATTCAATCCCAGGAACGGAATAGAATAAAAAACACTGCAAAATAATTATAGTCCATGAAAGAATCTCTCTGCTTTTTAACTGGAAGCCACCAACAATATAGTAAATATTTAATAAAAATAATAAATAAATAAATAAATAAATAAATAAATAAAAATGTATTTAATAAACAAACACAGAATTGTATTTCTCCCATGACAAAGTTTCAAGAGGAACACACAGCGAGAGACATAACAGGGCTCTGAGCTCATTTACCCCTCAGTTGTTAACCTCTGTAATCCTTCCTAGGCTTTAAGATCTAAAATCAGACAAGTACGGGTATCTATAAAGGCCTGGCAACACTGGGGCAGATAAGCACCTATTAATCACTGGTTAAAGCTCCATAAAAGACAGCTTAAAAAAAGTCAATAGCTATTTAATCAGCATTTCCCTTTAGACAAAATGGAATGCATTTCCTAACTCCCTTGTGCAAAGCATTCCTGAGCAGCCTTGGCGGAGAAGCTCCCGAAAAGAAGCCGAAGAAAGGCAGGCCAAGTTGCAAAAAAAGATCCATTGCAAAAAACAAAAAATGTTCATACTGTGGTTGTTATCTGCCACCAAGTTGACTTTGACCCACGGTGACCCTATGAACGAGAGATCTCCAAGTCTCCAGATATATTTCACCAGGAGAAGAGAAAGTTAAGAGGCGACATGATAGCCAGATTTAAAGATGTGAAAGGATGTCATATTTGTTATCAATGTTTAAAACATTTTGAATATTCTTTAAAAACATATATACATACTTATACACAACAGCATAAATGGCGTTCAGTCAAACACACATGTAGTTTTAAAAAAATCAATAAAATGACTTCCTAGCATCTACTACCTGAGTGCATCCATAATTTATTACTTAGTCATCGTCATCATCATCATCATCATCATCATCATCATCATCATCCTTTAATGTTACTGTCTCTTTTCACATTTCACATTTTTTCAACATTTCACATTCTTCAGATTTATATATATTCTCTCTCTCTAATGTTCTTATATAAAATGGGCCCCCGGTATCCTCTGCGGTTTGGTTCCAGAATCGTTCGTGGATAACAAAATCCGTGGATGCTCACATCCCATTATACGCAATCACATAGTAAAATGGTGCCCCTTATATAAAATGGCAAAATCCAGGCTTGTTTTTGGAATTTATATATTTTTAAAATATTTTCAAGCCGTGGATGCTTGAATCCGTGGACAAAGATATGGAGGAACAACTGTATCCGAGTATCTAATCTGCTACTCCAAAAATATTTTCCTCTCCCCATAGTTGTTTATAACATGTCAGTAAGTTTGACCAGTTTTGTCTAAATTTGTTTGATTCATTTCTATTAAGGCTGGTTAGTTTGTCAGCTTCTAGAAATTCATCTAATTTAAGCCACCATTCTGTTATATCTGGTTCTCTTTTGGTTCCACTTTTTGGGATATTTTTTCTTGCCTCTTCTGTCATATACACTCTCCCCTCCATTTTCGCAAACTTTAAGTCTGCGGTCTTGATTCTTTGTGCAGAAGTGAGCTCCATAGGATAAAATGGCACACACCCTTGGTGCGCGCACACGACCGCGCACAGGAGCACGCGGACATTCAAGCCAATAGGATTTGAATATTAGCGAGAACAGATCCCCGCAAAAACAGATAGGTAAGTGTGTGTGTGTGTGTGTGTGTGTGTGTATTTCCATAGTCTGAAAGGATGTCATATTGACATACTGAAAAAGGAGCAAGCTTGTTTTCTGGTGCTAGGACACAGAGCAATAGATTCAAACTACAGCAAATCACTGGTTCCACATTAGGAAGAACTTCCTGATGGTAAGAGCTGTTCGACAATGGATAGGAATGTGTTGGAGTCTCCTTTGGAGGTTTTTTAAACAGAGGCTGGATGACCATCTGTCAGGAGTGCTTTGACTGTGTATTCCTGCATGGCAGATTGGGGTTGGACTGGATGACACTTGGGGTCCTCAGGGCCTGCGGACTTGCTGTGGCTTCCTTGATTGAGGATGCATCTACACTATAGAGATAATGCATCCTCCTCTGGACATGCTCCAGCTTGTCAATATCCCTCTTGAACCATGGTACCCAGAACTGATCACAGTATTCCAGGTGAGATCTGACCACAACAGGAACAGGGTTCATTCCCAATTTGGCCATGAAACCCACTGGGTGACCTTGGGCAAGTGACACGCTCTCAACCTCAGGGGGAGCCAATGACAAACGTCTTTTGAACAAATCTTGGCAACGAAAACCCCAGGATAGGTTCGCCTTAGGTTGCCAGTCAGAAATGACTTTTAGGCACACAACAACAACAACATTACTTTCCTTGATCTAGATACTACAGTCCTACTGATGCAGCCTTGGATCATATTAAGTGCTATAGCTCCATCCTATGGAATCCTAGGATCTGTAGTCTTACAAGGTCTTTAGCTTTCTCAGCCAAAGAATGCACAAAACTCCAAATCCCAGCATTCTGTTAGATGGAGCCAT